AAAATTGATCAGAAATAGACAGTTGTAGTGACCTGGTTAATTTGTTCAAATCAAAATATCCAATTTTTTGATCAGAATTAAATTATCCCTTTTTCTTCTTTCCTTTCCTCTCCCGCTTTGGCAACATCAAAAGGAATGAGACAATATATAAAATATATAGAATGAGATAAACAAACACCATTCAGACCCAAAAGTCAAATATGTCCCTATAGCAAAATAATCAGAGTTAAACGTGCAGAATTATCCTAGAACATACTAATCAAAAAGTTCAGAATTTAACTAACAATAGCCCAAAACAGAAGATAAACTAAGAGAACAACTAACAGAGTCATAGTCAACTAGCTACACGGAAGGGCGTCTAAGAGATTTTACTTCCTCCTCAAGACGAGTCATGCGAGTGTCAAGAGAATCAAAACGTTCACCAACATAGAACCGGAGATCTCTAATTTCATTGAGAACATCCGAGAGAAGTGCTGATGAAGGATCTTGAGGAAGTGGTGACGGAGTTCTTTCATCAGGGTCAACTGCTCGAAAATCCCACTTCCTGACCCAGGTATTTTCCAGTGTTTTCTTGTACCCAAAGGAAGCAATTGCATTTGCCCCAATCTCAAAGACCCTTTTCACTGGAACCCATGTTTCATCCTCCAGAGGAACATTGAAATGTTTCAAAATAGTAGTTATGAAGTGTGGGTATGGAAGAGAAGCATTAGCTCGCAAGGCCTTATTCATACGGCTTCTAATCAGATGAGCCCAGCTAAACTCCCGGCCAGTGATTAGAGCCCATATCAAAATTAAGTCTTCCTCTGATGCTTGTGCAAGGTTATTCGTGCGGGGAAGCAGTACCCGAACAATTATATAATGCATGATACGAAAATCAAATTTAATTGATCCTGCCAATAATCTTCTAGTCATATAAGCATTTTCCACACAAATCATACTTAAGGCATTGGGATGGGAATATTCTGGTTTCCATGTATCTGGAATCGTTCCCTCAAACAGAGTACCTTGATCTTTTAATTTTGATAAATCCCGGAACAGAGACTGATTTACCACTATTGGAATTTTTTTAACTTCACTGTGAAGAACTCCATTCCTGATTTCCAAACTCTACGGACCTTGCTTACCGAGTTTTACAGCTTGTGCATACAATATGTGAGGTTCCACCATTTGGTTATTTACGCCTTTGACGATACCCCCGTCATTATCCATATGTTTACTATCCCCTTCCCCTTTCTCTCTGAAGTTAACAAAAAACACACAGAAGGGGGATTGAATGTTTGTGAACGAAGGAGTTTTAAAAATGTTTTGCAAGGAGACTATTTTTCGTCTAATGAAAATATTGCTTTGAACACTTGAAATTATGCACGGTTTGCTCATAAAAAGAATTTTCAATCTGATGGTTTATCGTCTGCTTGAAAAGGAGATTTCTTATTAGTAAAAATGTTTTTCCAAGTAATGAGTTGAACAAATGTAGTTTTTGTCTGAAAATGGTATTTGTAAATGGATTTAATTAGTGAACAAACTTTATAATGATATAGCAGTTAAAAAAAATTTCGTCTGAAAACAAATGAAAAGTGCACAAGGTTTTTATACTGGTTCACTCGACCTGAGCTACATCTAGTCTTATTCAACTAAAGGGTTCCACTAATCACAACGGATTACAAGTATTCTTAACCACTTTTGGTTCGTCAACTTCACTCGTTGACGCTAGTATTCTTAAACCACTTCTAGTTCTTCAAGTATTCTCAACCACTCCTGGTTCGTCAACCTCACTTGTCGACGCTAGTATTCTTAAACCACTTCTGGTTCTCCAAGTATTCTTTCACTAGCCTCTTCAGGCTTTACAAATAATGGATGTTTTAAGTGTGTGTGTGTGACTCTCATAGAGAGGATAGTATGGTTTCTACACTCGGTAGGGTTTTCAACCTTATTTTTACAAGGATATGTGTTTTAGAGCGTGTATATAACTCTCGCAGAGAGGATGGGGTAGTTTCTACACTCACTAAGATAAACTATCCTAGTTTTACACTGATATTCAAATTTGAACAAGAAGACATGTAGGTTTGACGTTTTCTTTTGCTTATTTTTTGTTGCTTCTCTTCTCTCTTTCTTCTCTTCTTAGGTCTTGATATTTATAGCCTTGTGATAAATCTTCCCATTGTTTGAATTTGAATGTGTTCGTTGAGGCGGAGCTTCCCGTTGGTGCAGATAATCGTTCGTTCATGGCTACACAGATCTTTTTCATTTAATGCGTATGATCTTGAATTAAATGCTTGCTTATTGAATCTGTGTTACGTGAAGTCCTTTGCGTAATTTGTTCCCTTTTATTTCTGACTTCAATCATGACCTAGGTACGTTTGTCCTTTTTCTGTCATTGTAGCTGCGGAGGCATTGCCTTTTTTTGAAAAATAGATGTACTTGCCCTGACACACGCAACTTTGACTTGTGGATTTGCACTCTTTTATTTTTCTTCTTTCATATCACATTCTTGATGACTTCGTGTACTCTTCTTGTGAATATGGACGATATGGGATGTTTCTCGTTGTGAATAGTGGACTTCAGACGCTTTTCAATCATTCTTTGTTTGCATCTAGAATCTGAGTCTCCATCTAAGAGTTAGACTTTGACTTTTTCATCTCTTTTGATCAGTCGTGAAGATGGATGACTTTTATTCCGTCTGGAATATTTCTTTGTCTTGTGTTATCCAACGATTGATACTTATTTTGTTGACCTTTGTGTAGTTGACCATTGAGCTTCATCTGATATTTATTTGGTGCTGAGCCAACTTTGTCTTCGTCTAGTTTTTCTTTTTGGTTGATATTTGTTTTGGCCTTGCATCTGATTTCTTATGTTGTGCTCTTGGTTGTTTTTGACACATCTTTGTCTGATATTTGTTATCGCCTGACGCTCATTTGGATTTGTTTGATCCCTGTTTTGTTCGTCCATGCTTTAGTTTTGCTTGTTTCTTATATTTATCTGAAACACTGACACATAGATTAGTCTTAACAATATGTATTATATTTGTCATAAAAACCTCACTAGGAATGACTTCGTCTGACTCAACACTCTCCCTTGTATTCCTTGGGAATTTTGGAACGTTTACATATAACTTCATGTCCCTATTGTGTATCTGATCAAGTTGTTCCACCAATCTCCTCTCATCAGGAACATTTAGAAATCTCACAAACCCATATCGATGCCCCCATCTGCTTTGTTTTCTTGCTAAGAAGACCTCCCACACCTACCCCACTTTTGAAATATATTCCAAAGATCAAACTTCTTGTAAGCTTCTAGAAAGTTTCTAAAGAAAAATGTAGTCACCCTTCCAGCGTCAGACTCGTCACCCCTTGCCATCCTTGAAGCATATACCTTTCGAATCTTGCACGATTCTATTCTCCCTGTGATCTCATTGAATGTGCATTGAAAAGTTTTTCTTGGTTGCTATTTTCTCCAAGCTATGATATTTGTATTTGTTCACATCCATTATAGCTTTTAAACATTTATCATTTTTGTAAAAAAAAATTGCTAGTGTGTATAAAATAGTGGCATGAAATTCTAAAAGTTGCAGTCAAGATTCTAGTCATAGTTCATACACTAATTATAAAAAATGCTTTAAGGTTTAAGTTAAATCAGTTTACCACATATAGATGACATGAAAAGTATTTGTTACTCTTTGATGCACCACCTGAAGCACCATGGTTTGTCCAATTAAATAATTAAAGCTCTTTTTTTATTTAGAAAAACTAGCAGGGTATTACATGCCATACTTTCTTTCATTACATTGTTTGTTGCTACTACTATTGAAGACTTTGATAAACAAAAGGGTTGATTGGTGGCAATTGAAACATATGAAATTGATATAGATGAAATGTGGTGTAAGAAATTGAAAATTTGGATTATTGGGATTGTATTGTAGGTTGAGTAAATTTGGATAATTGGAAAATTTTGGATTTGTGGATTGTTGGTAACATGATATCAAATTAAACCGTGCATTCATATTGAATGAATTTCGATTTGGATCCATTGAGTGAAAACTAATCAAAGAAATTGGGAATTTTGGTTTATATATATCAAAATGATGTAGGTGTTGTTTGGACTGCCTACACTAACATTGACTATATGGAATGCTTAGAGGATTGGAAGAGTACTTCAAGTTATGCATTTATTTTGAGTTTAGGGGAAGTAGCTTGGTCATCTAGAAAACAACCAATTGTGACTTTAACAAAAAACAAAGCCGAATACATAGCAATTGTTGCATATGCTTGTCAAGCAATATGGATGAAAGTGGTTCTTTTGAGACTTGGTTGTGATGGTGATAAATGTACAACCACTACTATAGGAGACACACATTTTACATAAGTTCTTTTAGACATTTTACATCGATTTTAAAAATGATGTAGATTAAGACGACGTAGAAAGTATAAGACACTTTACATCAGTTTGAAAACCAATGTAGAAAATATCATTTCTACATCGGTTAGTGATAGAATCGATGTAGAATACAACATGTTTTACATTTATTTTATCAAGAATCGATGTAAAATATGACATATTCTACATTTGTTCTATCAAGAACCGATGTAGAATATGCCTTATTCTATATCTGTTCTATCATATTCTACGTCAGTTTTTGATAGAACAAATGTAGAATATTGCATAGAATATTGTTATGCAATATTCTCTTTTAGTTTATTAATAATTAATGTAGAAAGCTTAATAGGAAATTCTATATTATTAGGTAAAATTCATTTACATTAATTACTCCAAAATCTCTTTTAGCATCACACTGTTAAATATTAATCACAAAACTTATTTGCCTTCACAAAATAAAATTCGTGCTTGTTAAATTAAACTGAAAACAATAATATTTATTTAGAACTAAATTAAAATGATTTTAACCACATAAACTAGAAAATTAACTAAAACTTAAAGTTTAAATTACATTGACCAAAAGGTTAAATAATTGAACCTTTTAATTAAAGCTTATAAACATGAACCATAAGTCAAAATCAAATAGATGACATACATTTAGTAATGCCAAAATTAAATAGATGAGCTTCAAAGTTTTAATCTAGTACAATATTCAAAGACTTTATGTCCCTGTGGACGATTTGTGGCTTGCAGTCATGATGGAGATAAGCAAGTCCTTTAGTTGCTTCAAGAGTAATTCTTAGGTGGGTCTTTCAATCAAGTTTTACCTTCAACGACCCTGTGTCCAATGAAACATTATAAGAATAATGGTAATTTTTACATAAAATGAAACTTATCAATCTCAGAGAATAAGGTCCAAGGAATCACATTTATTAAAAATAATTTCAAAATATCAAGTAAATATGACTAGTTCCTATAATGTTGAAGAGTATCTCAAAATTGTTTATAAAATTTGATGGTTGCACTAACTTGACAAATTGTGATCAATCAAATTTACTTTGTAATGTTTTGCAAGTAAGATAGAACTTTAATCACATGTATCAATACTTAAGAATTTTTTGGAACATTTGAAATAGAAAATTTTAATGGTTGTGTTGTTTACTTACTTGCTTCACAAGTTTGTGGTAATTTTGTTGAAATCAATTTCCTATTAAGCTATTGATTCTCTCATATTCTTTTAGAGTTTTGACTTCCAATTATTGCATATTTGTATTATTATCATTGTTCACTGTTAATAATTGTAAAATGGTATAAGCATGACATCACGATGTTTTTCATCCAGCATTGATAAGTTTTCATTGAATTGGCGACATTGGCTAACTAATAATATAAAGATCAACAAGAATCAATAGAAAAATGAATCCAATATATATTCCCAGCATAGGTTAGTTATGAATGGAATCTTCATATATGATTTTAGACAAACAAAGTAATATAAATCATATCATTTTTAATCTATCACATTATGCTTTAGAAAAAGAAGCCACCAGACCTTGGACAGAGTGAATATTAAGTTACAAAAAATATATACAAAATTTTAGTTAATAGCTATTATATTTCCAAGCTTATAAACTATTTACAAGACTGAATAAATCCCCTTGCCCTTCATTCCTTTATTTACTTGCTTAATGTGTTAACCAACTAATTGATATCCTAACTATCTCAACTAACTTCCTTCCATCTCTCTTAACTCCTCCTAACACAACGTTACCTGGAATGATTGTACAACAAGAAACTCCACACAAATTCTCTTTCCCAAAAATATTCAACCAAGTTTATCAACCTTCATTAATCTATTATAATTCATATACTTTTATAGCTCACCATTTGGACACACATTATTTATTTATAAAACCTTTATATAATAGTTAGATACCCCATGTGCGGCATAAATCTCAGTATAGTAGCCAATCTCTTAACCATTTTCATTGGTGCCAAAGCCCCTAGGTTTTCCAAAATAGATACCTGAACAACAACAGAACAACAAGAAGACTTAGTCCAGTGAATTAGCTACACATGGCCACAGTTAAAGAAAATGAACAAAAAATTAACATTTCAAAATTTAACTATCATAGGAACATTAGGAAACCATAACACAACAAACCTCTAATCTGTTCCCTCTGTTCCCTCACAACCATGAGATCAACCCCTTCATCAATCTCTTTCTTCAAAGTTGAAGTATCAACTAACTGCAAAAAAATTAACACAACAAAAATCACACAAGTGATGGGCAAAAATTACGTTTGCCCTCAACTATATTTCAGTTTCACCATCACAAATGAGAAAATGTAGCACGAATAAATTTTTACCTGAGGAAATATAGTAGTCGATCTCAAATTTGTAAATACTGGAACCCCTTCTCGAATTTGAAGCAAACCAGTCTTTGGCTTGAGATTTTTTTCATTTTTATCCATGGTTTAGCAAGCACTCAATAGAAAATGAAAATGTTGCGATTAAAGGGTTACCTTTGAGGGAACTGGCAAGGAGAAGAATGTCTTTAGCGACAAAGATGACTTCGGGGCTGATGCCGTCACCAGGGAGGAGAGTGATAGTGTAGCGGTAGTGCAACTTGGAAGGAAGGGGCTTCATCTTCCACATGGTTGCTTCACTTTTTCGATCAAATTTACCACAGACAAGTAATGGGGCTTCAAATAGGGTTTAGATGTGGGAGAATGGCTCTTGAGCGTGAAAAGAATGATTCGAACATATAAAGAATAGGATTTGGGCTTTGGTGTATGTGTTTATGAGAGGCAATGAAGAGACAAAAATGCGTGTGACTTCGTGTGAGAGGAGAAAGTGTGATTTCGTGTGAGAGAATAACACACAATTTTTTTTCGCAATGATTGAGATAATACTACATCGATTACTTCAAAGATTAATGTAGAGCAGTACTCATTGTGACACCCTCTATCCCAACATACATATACAACAATTATAAAAACATATTCTTGGTTTAAATAAAATCTTTAGAATTAAAACTATGAATCCATTAACATAAGAGTAGATAATTCACATTCGTAAACTTTAAACATGGTCAAATGCGGAATTGATAGAAAAATGAATCTTTTTTATGGACCATGAGCCAAGGGCCCAATCACTAGAGCTATGGTCAGGAGCATACAAGAAGAGTTGGACAACTTGAAGACCAGTGGACTCTCTAAGCCCAAGATACTCTTCATTTGGACTACTCTATCATGAAGAGGAGGCATAGTTCTAATTGTATATAGTTTGTACATAAATTCCTTGTATAGGCTTATTTTTGCCTTTGTATTTGGGAGGCACTTTATTTCATTTTAATAATCATTGTATATTGTTTCTAGAGTAGGTTACTTGGAGACTTTGACTCCATTTAACCTAATTTTGAATTACACTCATTTTCTATTTTTTCAGTAGTAGAAGTGGGGTAGCATTTAGCAATGCTTGAGGGTGTGACTAACAATTAGGGCAGAATTGGGCCTAGGAAAAATTTTACATATTGGACTCATTTTGCTCCTAATTTTTCATAGGTTTGATCTAGCTAGGTCTCATCATTTTTGGATGGACCTAACTAGACCAAACCAAACATTTTTGAAATTAACTCAAGGAGCCAAAATGAACCAAATCCGCCTAGCTAGCCTTGTTCCTCTTTAGCCGAGAATTGCTTCTCCTTCTTCAAGCTTGGGAAGCTTGTGCTACAAGCTTCTCCTTAGCTTGCTCCACAGGCCTCCTAACAAGCTTTGACGGTCAAGCCAACCAAACCATGGTTCACTTGAACCATGGTTAAGGTTAGCTTGCTCCCTAAGCTACCTCCTTCTATATATTTGTAATTCCAACCTTTTCTCTCACTTTTGATGAATGAATTCAGAAATTCTCATAGAATTCTCTCTTCTTAAGTCTCTTAGAATCTGTGGAGAACATTCTCCTTAGGCTTCTCATAAAGGTTTTCATCCTTTGAACTTGGTTAATCAAGCTTCTTCAACTTCAAAGAGTGGCCGAACCTCTTACTTGCTTCTCCACCATTGAAGTTTCTTCAAAGGTGCTTCCACCATTGTCAAGTGTTCAAACTCAAGAGAAGAAGGATTGGACGGTGGAGTTTTGAAGAACATCAACCATTCTTCAACAACTTCCATCATTTTTGGTATCAAAGCCTTGGTGCTCTTGAGGTTATGTGTCTTATTCTCCAAACTTGAATCTGTGTTGTTCCTTCATTCTTTTAGATGTCTTATTTGTGTTTCTGTTTGGATCTATTTCTTCTAAACATTTTTATGGATCCTTATGTCTCATATTGTTAATTGATTCATATGTTTGCTTGTTTCCTAATTCCTTGAATCAATTTGTTTTGTGCGCCTAGGTTTCTTGAACTTATGCATTTTATTTTGCTTGAGTCTTCTCTATTCCTTATAACATGAGTCCATGATTGGACATTAATAATTTTTAGCATGTGTTTTGGTTTTGAATCCTATGTTTTGTCTAGAGTCATGTGTAGTCCTTTTACATGTCATTGAATCCTAGACTAGCTTGTTGAACCTTAATATTTTTGTGTTGTTTTGGTGTCTACATTGATTCAGTTTTTTCTTTATAATATTGTGTTGACCTATATGTTCTTTTGCTTTACATGTTTGAGTTCCTAATTTGCTATTAGTTCTAGCAAATGTCTTAGAGTTAGGTTTCTATTATGTCTCATTAAAAAGTTTGTCAAGAAAATTTTCTAAACACTTTCCTATTAGGTTTCCTTGAATTTTTGTGTTGTGGCTGAAACCTGTATCACTTTTTAAGTCATCAAAACAGAGGAAAAATAGAGGTATAAGTGTGCTTAATACATTAGAAAAACAAAGAAAATATTGCTTGAAAATTTGACCTAAAAATTTGTACAAAAGTGTGAGCACTAGAAAAAAAAATTCACTTATATACCTCTTGTTTTGTGGAAAAATTTTGGCAGCATTTTTATTGGATTATATCCGAGACTTAAACATGTTTAAAAGGCATTAAAATCCTGTGCAAAAGGAAAATAAAAAGTTCAAAAGAAGTTACAAAAAGAATCACAAAGAAAGAGTACAAGAAAAAGCCAAGGAGTAAAAAAAAGTTTGTGTGATTTGTGCTCAGTTTTTAATTTGTGTTTCTTGTATTGAAAATATGTCAAGCGACATATCACTTGTTTGTGAGTCTTATTTTGTTTTGTAATCTTAGATTTTATTTTGTAATCTACTCTAGTTCCATTGATAGGTTTCCCTTTGTGTGCTAGCCTTTCTTTGGTGCCTTAATTTTTGCTTGTCATTTTATTGGAATTCTTTCTAGTCTTGTCTCGTTTCTTTCCACCATTTGGTGTAGCTTCTCCTAATTTTTCCTTTTCAGTTTTAGCATAAATATTCCATCAACTTAAGGTGTGTTGAGTGCTTCTTGAAGGTGTGGAAGGCCAAGTTCAAAGGAAGCCAATATTGGAAGGTTTTGTGGTGGCCTAAGAAGCTTGCTTCTCCATTGGTGGAAGGCTTTGGGAGTCCAAACACCTAGGAATAACCAACATCAAGGTTATTCCTAAGAGAGGAGTGAAATGTTAAGTCAGACGAAGATGAAAGCAATTCCCTGCAAGGTTTTGAATGAGACAAATATAATATGTATTGTTATTTTTAATAAGTGTATTAGTGTTTCAGATATAAGTACAAGCAAGTTGATATGCATCCATACCAGGACTAAGAGACATGAGCCAAGCACTGGATAAAGGCTGAGCAAACAAAGGGAACATATAAGACGAAGATAGTCACAAACACAGACATAAAAGAAATAAAGGAAAAGGACATGAGCAACCAAGATGATGGACAAAACCAAGTTAAAACACACCAGACGGATACTCGAATACATAGACGAAGATCAAGAAAAATGGATTGCATTTGAAGACACAACGAGACGAACTACCTAAAACATACTCTCAGAAGAACACATGAAGACACCCAAATAGAAGAAGAAAGATAAAAAATGGGTGAACGTTTATCCATAAATCAAAACTACGTGTGTCAAAGCAAGTACACCTACTAGTCAACAAAGGACAAGTCAGCAAAGGAAAACACCTCCATTATTGCAATATCAAGAAAGTACAGAGATATCTTAATGCCAGTCATAAAAGCAAACATATGGTACAAAAGATCTCGTGAAGCGCAGATTCAGCAAGCAAATATTTAATGCAAGTCAAAGGCATTAAATGCAATAATCCACTAAGAGTGTGCAACCTAGATAAAAGAATCAGATGATGGCTAGTCAAGCATAAAAATGAAGTTTGCTCATGGATGGAAGAAGATTACCACCAGAAGGAGACACTATAGTATCAGATGAAGCCTATGAAGAATAGTCAAGGCAAGACACGTACTAGACAAGTCGAGACAGATGAAGCAAGTGACATAGGAAACTAAGTGTCAAGAGATGAATAGTTGGAACACAAATATGCGCCAGATGATCACAAAATATCCAGACAAAGTTGTGTCAAGTGCAAATGCTCTAAAAAGCACAGATCATACGAGCATATGTCTAAGGTCAGAAAAAAGTCAATCGTGCATCAAGACCAAGAGCAGCACAGACTAAAAGATACTCTAGACGAAGATAAGTTTGCCTGTAATTCTAACCAAGACCATATAAGAGGCCAAAGCATTAACGACAAATACTCAGATGGAGAACAAGACGTGAGAGGCAAACAAAGACTGTTGCACAAGCACTTATCTAGTCTCAAAAGATTACTCAAAGTATTACCTATGATCACAAAAGTGTTCTCAACGTAATAGCAGAATAAATGAAGAAGAAGGGAAACACGTAAAAGTAGAGCATGCATGTGTCAGAAAAAGTGTATTACTTTTTCAGAAAAAGGACAACGGCTATATTGCTACATGACCAGAAAAAGAAAAATAATTTCTAGGTCTCAGATAAATTCAAACACTGCTGGCAACAAGACAAAAAAGAATACACACAATGTCTAAGAACAAGAAGCAACATTTAATGCAAGACCAAATGCATTAAATGAAAGGATCAAACCAGTCATGAACGACTATATTAGCTTCAACGGATATATGCAACGGAAAAATTTCACAGGCCTATAAGTATGCAATAACATCAAACCGAAAAAGGTTGGCAAGAAGCAACAAAGGAATAATCATAGGCTTTGCCCTGGGGTTGTGATTAAGAAATTTGATATAAAACCCACAAGACAGAGAGTCCAGAGCTGAGCAATGATAGTCATATGTACAATGTAATATTGTATTTGTATCTCTATTGACTAAGATTTTGAAATGTTAATTATGGACGAACCTTATTGAGTGTTGTAAACGTATACATCCTCTCCATGAGAGTAACATCTTTGATTGTTATTTAAAATTTGTGATTCATTGCATTTCAGCATTAGGTAATGAATTATCTAGTTAAAAGAAAATAATGCTAGCTTTCACATTGGAGAGGGGAAATAATTAGTCATACACTTTAATAAACTCTTGTGCAAGGATAATGGAAGAATATTTACTACACCTGTTCTTTCAACTTGACTAGAGCCAGTAGTATGATTTATACATATAAAAAGTTCAATAGTGTTGGAAGTAAGAGGATATATAGGAAAAAAACTTGAATCTCTTTTATCCTAGATTATTAAAAAAAGTCATTCATCAATTATCCAAACACCAAGTCTAATATACTAAGCCATAGATGGTGTATCGG